GAGGCCAACAGTTTCTGATGGTTGGATTTGGGGACAGGACAGGATCTCAGAGATAACGGAACAGGAGAATTGCTACAATCAAACAAGAAAAGCTTTCTCAGCTTTTCTGCTGACAAACCACAAACTGCCCACATCCACATCCCCCTCCACCTCCAATCATCCCCTTTCCTTCCTGCCACAGAGGCAGGTGGGGCTGTTGTGGCTGACCTGGGCTGTGCCCATGGCCTTCTGTGACCTGGGAGCTGCCATGTCCGCGTTCTCCTTCCCTCAGTGTCCGGGGTCTCCCACCTCCAGCTTCCAGTCTTGCCTCCCAGCCCTTGCCCCACTGCATAGGATCCACTAGGGTCTCTGTTTACAACAGAAAACCACCGTCCCACCCCACCCATCCCCAGCCAGGCATGGCCTCTGCTCAGCCCCCTCATCCCAGCTGTGTCTGGGCCTGCGCTAACTCCTAGAGGAGCCCTGCTTGTGTGCTCCACAGATAACACACACATGAGCAGACAGGAGGAACAGAGACAGCACACGTGCGGTGTGGGCCAGAAAGGCGCCAGGCTGTCAGTGATGGGTGGTCAGGGGAGAGGAGGGATCCTGGGCAGAGTCTGAGCTTTACAGACACTGGGCAGCTTCGAGGCCTGGAAACTTGAATACCTGTTTCCCTTCCCCTCCCCTCTCCCCTGGGGCCAGCCTGCCTTCACCACTCCCCCCAAATGGCTCCCAGCCATTAGCACAGGACTGGAGCAAATGCTGGTGTGGGCTGATGGGACATCGACCCAGAGAACTACCCAGACCTTTCCAAAAGTGCACCCTATGCAAGGTGGGGTGATGGACATGTCACGAGGACAGTCCCATTTAACATGAACACTCAGTGGGTGGCAGGGACCATGCTCCCCATTCACAGATGAAGAAACTGAGGCTCCAGGGAAGTTACATTACTTGCCCAAGGACTAGTGATAAGAAAGTAGTGGACAGGGATTGAAACCTGGGCGGGGCTTAGAGCCAACAGTTCAACCTGATCGGCTCTTCAGGAGGGGAAAAGGAGGCCTCCCTGAGCAGGGCTGGAGGGACAAGGCCGGCCAAGGTCACAGGGTAGGAAGCCTGTGACCACATGGGCCAGACTGCCGGGCCCTCCTCTGAGCCTTGATCTGGCTATGCAGCTTAAGGTTCACCCAGAGTGGTCCAACTGAGATGAAACTGAAGCGAAACAGATCATTTTAAATTTTATGGTAGTCACAATAAAAGGAAACAATGGAAGTTAATTTTAGCAATAGATTTTATTGAACTTCATACATCCAAAATACTATCACTCCAGTAATGTTCAATATAAAATGTTGATAGGTACTTCACATCCTGCGTGATCCTGACATTGATTTTACACTTACGGCCTGTCTTGTTTGGGACTTACTGTTTCTCCTGCTCCACAGCCACACGTGGCTTGTGGCTACTGTCTGGACACAGCAGATTCTCAAAGGCATCAGCCCACTCTTTCCACAAGAGGCCAGATGATGAATAGTCCCGATTCGGGGAGGGGGGTATGTGGGCTCTGTGGTGACCGCTCACCTGTCATGGCAGCCTGACAGCCACGGACACCTCCGTGACCGGGCATGTTCCAGTCAAATGTGCCTTATGGACACTGACTTTATAACTTAATATGTCACAATTTTTCTTTTGATTTGTTTTCTCCCGACCATTTAAAAATATAAAAGCAATTTTTTTTTTATTTACTTTTATTTTATTTATTTGTCTTTTTGGCCGGGGTTGGGATTGAACCCACCACCTCTGGCATGGGGCCGGCACCTTACTCTTTGAACCATAGGCGACACCTAATATAAAAGCAATTTGTAACTGACAGGGGGCCCGTGTTTGCCCACCAGTGACCTGGAGGGTCTGTTAAACACAGATTATTTGGCCTCCGCCCATAATTTTGATTCAGTAGATCTTGGCCGGGGCGGGGGGCGGGGGGTCCTGAGAATTTGCCCCTCCAATCAGTTGTCAGGTGCTGCTGCAGCTCCAGGGAACACACGTGTACAAAATAGATTAAGACGAAGGCAGAAAAGGTGTGACTGCAGTGTGGGTTGGGGTCTCTCCTGGAGTGAGTGGGGGTGGGGGAAGCCAGCCCAGCAGCCCAGGCACCTCCGTCCCAGTCTTCTTCCCAAGGCTTCTGGCTGCTTTGATCATCCTTGCCCGCCAGGCACACTGGTCACTTTTTTTTTTTTTTTGAGACAGAGTCTCACTAAGTCACCCTGGGTAGAGTGCCGTGGCATCACAGCTCACAGCAACCTCAGACTCTTGGGTTTAAGTGATTCTCGTGCCTCAGCCTCCCAAGTTGCTGGGACTATAGGCACCCGCCACAGCGCCCGGCTATTTTTTTGTTGTAGTTGTCATTGTTGTTAAGCAGACCCCAGCCAGATTTGAACCCACCAGCCCCGATGTATGTGGCTGGTGTCCTCACCAGTGAGTACCGGTGCCGGACCCACACTGGTCACTTTAGAGAGACATTCGAATGGCTTATAGCAGCAGCCTCCTGTTCGTTGCCTGGTGTGTGCTGGCCCTGGGGCTCTCACCTGTCCTCTGGCCCAGCCCCTTCCCCCTTCCCAGCTCCTCCCTCACCTGTCTCACTCTGTGCCTTGACTTTATAGCCTTTAGTGAGTTTGCCTGTTGGTGTTTTGATTTTTCTTTCTCCTCCTCCCTTTAGGGAACAAAGGAGCTGTGGGGGTGTCCTTCATGTTCAATGGAACCTCCTTGGGGTTTGTTAACAGCCACTTGACTTCCGGAAGCGAAAAGAAACTCAGGTAATGAAGCCCATCCCCTCAAGGGCCTGCCCTTGGGTTATTTGCCCAGACAGACCCCTCACCCCTCAACACCAGAGCACCTGCCTGGGACCCTGTGGGTGTCCTGCAGCCTTTAAGGGCTTTTCATGGTCTCATCAGAAATAACATCAGCACAATAGCGGCCTCATGTGTGGGTGAATTTTGTCTGAATCTCAGAAAAGCTATTTCCTGGCATCATTAGCCTAATGTAATGGTGGTCGCTGTGACCTTACATTAGGAGAAACCAAAACTACATGAACATTCTCCGGTTCCTGGCCCTGGGAGACAAGAAGCTGAGTCCCTTTAACATCACTCACCGCTTCACGCACCTCTTCTGGCTCGGGGATCTCAATTACCGCGTGGAGCTGCCCACCTGGGTAAGGAAATGTCCCCAGGGGGACGGGGCAGCTCAGGGTGGGCTTCCCGAGTCAGCTCCAGGCAGTCAAGGGGTCACAGGTGCTGAGCTGGGCCAAGGCACCTACTCCTGCACAGACTCAGCTCTGTTCCTGCGACAGAGCCTCAGCCTTTCCTTTCAGTTCCCACATAACTGTCACGGCCGCCCCTTCTCACCAATGCTCTGCCACCCGGGTCATCGAGCTGCTCAGCCGTAGACCCTCGGTGGGCCTGGGTCAGAAGGGAAGGGGTGTCTCACCAGCAGCCCGGGCATGTCCTTATTCCAGGAGGCTGAAACTATCATCCAGAAAATCAAGCAGCAGCAGTACGCAGATCTGCTGTCCCACGACCAGCTGCTCACAGAGAGGAGGGAGCAGAAGGTTTTCTTGCACTTCGGTAAGATGGCCGGGCTGTGCTCCCGCGCTCTCCCCAGCCTGCCTCCCTCTCCCCTTTGTCCGCCCCTCCATATCTTTACAGGGGAGGGGAGAGTTGGCCAGATGTGAAACTTGGGGAATCAGAATTGATGTCAAAGCCTCTCTGTTTCAGAGGAGGAAGAAATCACGTTTGCGCCGACCTACCGTTTTGAAAGACTGACTCGGGACAAGTACGCCTACACTAAGCAGAAAGCAACGGGGGTGAGTCCTCTTCATAGAAATCTTCCCTGCCTGCCCTCTCCACCCACCTCATATCTGTTTCCAAAAGGCAGACAGAAAGTACGAAGCATCCTCATCCACTAGGCAAGGGGAAAAAAGGAAAGGAAATAAAAAACATTAGAGATCACACGATGATTTGTGGCATCTCAAAAGGACAACTACACTTGTGCACTGCAACAAACAGGACCAAGAACCCTTACAATTCACCTTCTATCTTCCATAAAACTGGATTATGAAACTTATTTTTCAAAAAAGGCCTGTGATCAAATATACTTGCTAAACAGATCAACACTAAACAGATTTCTTGACTGCAGGATTTATCAGAGCCTTAAACAGCATTATGGTTCTCCAGGAGGAAATCTGTGCCAAACTCAATTGATCATAGAATACCAATTATTACCTTATAAGGCCACTTATGTTCCAAGGAACCGTGTTTGGGGAAAGATACAATAAAAATATTTATTGGCTGGGTGCAGTGGCTCATGCCTGTAACCCTAGCACTTTGGGAGGCTGGGATGGGAGGATCACTTCAGCTCAGGAGTTTGATACCACCCTGAGCAAGAGAAAGACCCTGTTTTTACAAAGAAATAGAAAAACTAACCAGGGTGCCTGTAGTCCCAGCTACTTGGGAGGCCAAGGTAGGAGGATTGCTTGAGGTTGCAAGCAGGAGTTTGAGGTTGCTGTGAGCTAGAATGACACCATAGCACTCCAGCTTGGGCAATAAAGTGCCCCCCCCCCTTTACTTACTGCATATTTACTGATGGGCTAATATGAGTTAGATGTTTTCTTAGGTGTTGGGAGAGCAAAGATGAATGAGATGTCTTGTCCCAAGGAGTAGAGAAATGCGTAGTTAACTAACTATAGACAGAATACCATGATGCCAAATGCATTATGAAGCCATCAGAAGAGCAAATGATGGGCCAGGGGAGGGTTAGGGGAGCCAGCCCCATGGCAGGGTTAGAGAGCTGGGGTGGTTAGGAGTCTAGGGAAAGGAAGAACAAGTTCAAAGTGTTGTCTAAAACAGTTCTGAGTGTCAGCTGGGCTCAGGGACAAGAGAAGAACTAGAGGTAAGAAAGGCCAAGCATTGGATAGATTCCAGAACAGAAGAGGAGAGAAGAGAACAAACTGACAGGCAGAAACCACCCAGGACTGCTGCCACAGATGAGGCCGAGACCCCCCAAACAGGAGACTCTCTTATGAGGTGTCCACTGCCCACTGTGAGGATGGGCTCACCTAGCCTAAAGACACTATCAGGGCAAGGCCACAGGGGCACATGTGTGGCTGGAAACAGTAGTCTGGTTTGACACGGGCCTGAGATTAGGAGAGTGGGGTGTCCTGGATGCCAGGTAGTGACTGGCAACAGGAAGCCACTGAGAGTTCTGCTGAGCGCTGGTGACATCAAAGTGGCACATAAAGAATTTTGGTCACATCATTATAAAGGATGAGGATGACATAGGTGCACCAACAAGGAGGCTGTTGATGGTGTTTCCAGCTCGGCAATAGTTTGCGCCTGAATCGGGGGAGAAACAGTGAAAACAAAAGAAAAGGAGAAAAGCAGGATAGACTGGAAGGTCTGATGGCCGTCGATAAGCACTGGAAAATCAGAAAGTGGAGATGGCTTGGGAAGGAAAAAATAGAACTTGTTTTCCGGCTTGTTGATGGTTCGATGTTAATGGAAGATCTCAGAGCAGTTGTCCAGAAGACAGCTGACACGGTCAGCTGTCACTTAGAGACGGGAAATGCGTCCTTAGGCGATTTTGTTGTTGAGCAAACATCGCAAAGTTCACCTACACAAACCTAGCTGGGAGAGCAACCACACTGCCACTCCCGGGCTGCAGACCTGAGTGGCGGGTGAGTGTCCCGAGTGGGTGGGCAGCTGTGACAGGTGGGTGAGTAGCGAGAGGCTGGGAAGGCCCAGGTCAGACACCACTGGTCACTACTGTCGGCTTTATAAACACTATATACTTAGGCTGCACTTTAACAAAAATTTTTCTTTCTTCAGCAATAAACCTTAACTTACTGTAACTTTTATACTTTATAAGCATTTTAATTTTAACTCTTTTGTAATAACAATTTGTTTTTCTTTTTTCGTTTTGTTTTTGAGAGAGTCTCACTATGTCGCTTTTGGTAGGGTGCTGTGATGTCACAGCTCACAGTGACCCCAAACTTTCAGGCTTAAGTGATTCTCTTGTCTTAGCCTCCGAAGTAGCTGGGACTACAGGTGCCTGCCATAACACCTGGCTATTTCCAGGCTGGGTTCAAACCCTCCAGCCTTGGTGCATGTGGCTGGTGCCATAACCACTGTGTTACGGGCACCAAGCCAACATTTAAAACTTTTTAAAACATATGCACATTAGCCTAGGCCTATACAGGGTCAAGATCATTAATATCTCTGTCCACTGACATGCATGGAGTTGTCATCTCCTATGATAACTATGAATGACTTCTGGATACCTCCTGAAGGACCTGCCTGAGGTTGTTTTTTGGTTAACTTTTTTTGAGACAGAGTCTCACCATGTCACCCTTGGTGGAATGCTGTAGCATCGCAGCTCACAGCAACCTCCAACTTGGGCTTAAGTGATTCTCTTGCCTCAGCCTCCCAGGTAGCTGGGACTACATGTGCCCACCACACACCCAGCTATTTTTTGGTTGCATTTGTCATTGTTGTTTAGTTGGACCGGGCCAGGTTCGAACCTGCCACCCTTGGTGTATGTGGATAGCACTGTAACCACTGTGTTACGGGCACTGCCTAACTTTTTTATATAAATAGAAGGAGTATACTCTAAAATAATGGTAAATTGTATGGCAAATGCATAAATGAGTAACACAGTCGTTTATTATGATCAAATATTACATGCTGTATATTACATATGCTATACTTTTATATGGCAGTACAATGGGTTTATTCACACCGGCATCACCACAAACAGGTGAATGATTTGTTGTCCTATGACATTATGATGGCTGTGACATCACTAGGTGACATCATGATGGCTGTGACATCACTAGGTGGTAGGAATTTTTCATCCTCATTATGATTTTATAGGATCACTGTCTTATACACAGTCCCTCGTGTGGTGCAGGATTCTATGAATATTTGTAGAGCGCCACAGGTAATTCCCAGGTGCTGCTGATGCAGAGAACTACAGCGTTCAGAAGAAACTTAAGCAGCATTTATGAAAACTAAGCATGCACCTACCCAGTGATTCAGTAATTCTACTTTGGGGTGTGTGCAAGAGAAATAAGTAGATTTGTTCACCAAAAGATAGGTACAAGAATGCTAATACCAGCTTTGTTCATAATCTCAAAAACTAGAAATTACGTTA